CCAGAGGTTATCTTTGATCTACTAAATAGAAAATTTTTTGTCACATGAATGACTAACAAACGACAACTTTAGAGGAATTTTTGGACCACTAGTTTAATTAGGCACGTGATATCTTATAACGAATTATTCACTGGTATTGTTGGGATTAAGTAAAAATGCATAAGTTTGTTCTATGTTTGCCAAATTAGTTGTTTAATTGATGTGTTATGTTGGTTTTCCTCTGTTTTTTTTTGTTTTTCTTACTAGAGTTGCTTTTGATAAAATCCTTTCGATAGACGACTTTCCTGATGATTTGCAAAATCCTTCACAGTTAGCAAATCTCCTTTGATGAATATGATTATTCTCATGGCCGGTAACATTAAGTTTATCAGTGAATGCTAATATTGAATGATGAATGTGTTGGAAATCAGCCACATTGTATTACGTCCAGTTCTCCTCAGATGAGTGCGATAGTGTCGTCGTCTTCTTGTGCTGAGACTGTTATAGGATGTTTCATGGAAGTATAAAGAACCAATATTCTGCGTTAACATTTGAGGATTGCGTAGTGCATCCGATTTTATTCGAAACATCGACGAGGTCATTGAATGCGTAATTGTGCTGTAGGATAACTTTCTGTTGTCCATCGTGTATGCAAGTCACTGCTTCTATCTTCCAAAACAAGTCTGGTACCGGTTTGCCTATTTCGGTGGAACGAAGGACTTCGTTGGCGTTTCGTAAGGGTATGGAGTCGAACCAATGACCAGTGTCTATCTCTATGCACAGCTAGGCATTACGTTATATTGGCCTAACGTCTTACGGCGCGAATCATTCTATTTACATTTTAGACGGGAATTTCCAATACCTAGAAAATCCATAACATACATAATGAAGCATTAGACGGAATTTCATATTTTTCGATAGATTACTTCTATATGTATATTCATTCGAATCATATCTGGGGAAATAGGCGAGAGTAGTGAGTGAAATCATCAAAATCAAGATTATGAATAATTTTTCTCAAAAAGAGGTGATTCCTTCTTTGTTTTTGCAGATAATCGAGTGCAGCATTTCTTGAGTGTCACAATTTTCCATTCCGAAACCTCAAAATCGCTTTTAGATTCATCGATTATATATTCATGTCATTGCTGCGTTGGATGCAATCGTAGTTGAAATCTAAACCTGCTTTTTGATTGACGTGTTCATCGACAAGAAATCTAACCTAGTGTAGAATTAATTGTGTTACACTTTTTTTTAAACGCTTAGAGATACCTATTCGTTGTGTCTACTCAATATACAAAGTTCTGTAGAGTTTTTGATTCTTTATGTTCTTAAGACTCTGATAACCCATATTTGTGACCGAACAGATCTTGACTAAATCATTCATGCCCTTAAGCGAAGCTGAGTGTATTGCTGTTCATCGTCTTCCTATACTTTAGGAAATAAGAAACGTGTCCAGGTCACGACCGACTCCACACAGATGCTCAACCTTTACAGTACGTATCACCTGCAACACAGCGAAATCAGATTGTAAGCATGCCTCCGGTCCACAGTGCCTAATGATCAACCATTGCATATGACTACTTCGGAACTCTGAAAACTACACCATGCGAAAGGTTTCTTGCCTTATGAAAAGAACCAGTCAAAGGGAAATCACGATATTTTATAAGGACGAGTCATTTGAATATCAAAGTAGGTATTGTTCATGATTGGAATGTGCAGTTTGTTCCTGAGATGGTTTTCGTTGATGCTTGGGCTGCATTGTTTTTATCGATAACAGTGCTGAAAAGATTTTGATGAAAAGCGCATTTAAAACATACTATTCTAAGTTCAAAAATTATCGTAAGGCTTCAAAAAGTGTGCTGGCAGTAAATTCAATTCAGTGCTGCTAAAGCGAAATAGCAGCGGGAATACTTCGTTTGAAATTCTGATTAAACTTATCGTAAATCAAATAAATCTTTGGTGACTTGAGTAACGCAAAAAAGTAACCGCCGTACTCAGTGTTTGAAAAATTAGCGAGTGTTGATTGTTCTCATTGATAGTACGTCAGCGCTACATTCATGTGTCGTTTTAAAAATTCACTCCGTGGTAGAGTGAGTAGGAATTCGATCTTTACAACAAACTCTTCTAATGATCGGGCGTGATGATCGGTCGGACAATTGCTTCATCCCTCATGCACATGGGCCTGCTGTTATCAATTACCTCCTCGAAGTCTAAATTATTCAGATGTACGACTTCTCAAAAAAAGAGATATCCAGTGATTCGAGCGCGTTTTCCACTTGGATTCTTGGATGTGGACGGTCGAACTAGAGCGTCACTGGACATGGATTCGATTGTTTCTCCGTTGCAAATGCGTATTATGAATGAGAAAAGAGGAAAGTGCTCGCGGAATGTTGTGTCCTCTCCTTCCTGTCTCTCAAAGCCGGCAATTGCCGATTGTTATATTGATCATAATGGCAATAGGCGTGACGCGATCTGACGACACAGCAGTAAAGGAGGGAATGAAGTCGGACGAACCGATTAGATGAGTTGTTGCCGTCGTCATTATTTGGGAGAACCTGCTTCACTTCCTTTCAGGCTATCTCTGGATGGTTGGCAGCAGGCAGCAGACAGCATGTCGAGTGCTTCGTTACAAGATATCTATTTGCTATTAACGGGACACATATTATCAATGTTGTTGACAATACCTGATTGTCAGACCCGACACAATAGGGAAGAGGATCTAAGCCGAGACAGGTCGTCAAGATCAAACAACGGCCCTCATCGCGTCGCTTACGACCTTGCTCTCAGGGTGGGGATACTTCCGTCCGTCGACCGCTGACGTATGGGGTCCACGGTAATCGGCTGGTAGGCCTAATTGTGCCACAACGACAACAACGGATGACGATGGCTGGTGGGGTAGTGGGTTAGTGATGGTGCAGCAGTAGCAGGGGATTGTTGTCGGCTGCGTAACCTTATCGGCGATCGTCTCATCCACCCACCTCCTCTGTTTTTCGCCCGCTTCCTCACACCACACTCCATCCCCGGCTGGCTGCCTCGCACACTGCCCCCGACTAACCATCGCCCATAGCAGTTGACCATCATCTCCGTCTTGTCACATCACATGCTTGAAATGCGGTACAGTTGCACATCACCTGATTTGGACTCGAGTCGAAACCTCGAAGTCGAAGTACGTCTCGGTTTTTTCCTGGTTACCGGTTCCAGTCAGGATATTCCTTGAGTTCACTCATAACGATGCCGTGAGAATAGTCCAGTCAACAATCGATCATCTCACCGATGTTATGGTGACTTGTTGGTCGTATGAAACAATTACTTGTAGGATGAAAGTGTCTAGTAGCCAAGAGACAAAAAAGTTGATCATCGTCTTCCTCGTGGACGGAATTCCTACAAAATTAGAAAATCTATTTTTTGGCATTTATAATTCGCATACTATTTATTCACTGAAAAGTTCAAAGTAGTAATGTTTATAGGGCGTGCACTTGTGATGTATAATCATTCGAAAAATGTAGTACAATAGAACTACAATACATCCGCACTAATCATCAATCACAGCCTCTTAACCGTTAGAAATGATGGTCACTTATATTCGAACACTTTGATACAGTGCACATCACGACAGAGATCCATCTACGATAGTAGCGAGCAAGTCGACTAATTCGTCTCTAGACTTCTTAATTTCTTGGTATCTACTGAACAACCCATTTTCCCAAGAAAGTCCCTCTAGAAAGTCCATTTCTTCCAGCTATGATATCCGAGCAGAAAGCCAGCATCGAGAAGCCGAGTAATTTTATTCTAAACTACTTAATGTCCTGGTATCCACTGATCAGCTCATTTTCCCTAGAAAGTCTCCTAGGAATCGTTTTTCTCAGCTGCGATAATCAAGCAGAAAACTCAACACTGACAAGCCGACTAATTCTTCTCTAAACTACCTAATATTCTGGTATTCACTGATAAACCCATTTTCCCAAGAAAGACTCTCTATAGCAAATCCATTTCTCCCAGCTGTGATATTCGTCCATATTCGTCTAGAAAATCTGCAACGGCTGGTCGACTAATTCTTTTCTGAAATACTTGTTACCCTGCTGATCATTCCACTTCATTCCATAGAAAAGTCCTTCAAGAAGTCCACTTTTGCCATCTACGATGATAACGAGCAGACAAGCAAAAGAGACAAGCCTTCCAATCCGCCTCTGTATCACCTGATGTACCACTGATCTAACCACTCTATTCCATAAGAAAGTCCTTCAAAAAGTTCTTTTAACCATCTACGATAGTCGCGAGTGGAAAGTCAGCAACGACTAGTTGACCAATTCGTCTCTGGACAACCTTATATCCCGCTAATCAATCCATTTCCTCAAGAAAGTGTAGGGGGTCCATTTCTCCCAGCTAGGATAATCAAACAGGAAATTAACTCAGGTCAGTCGACTAATTCTTCTCTGAACTACTTGTAATCTTACTGATCATTCCACTTCATTCCGTAAGTCATTCAAGAAGTCCTCTTGCCAGCTACGATAGGCGCGAAGCGTAGGTCTCTGGACTGACTGATATCCGACTGATCACTCCATTTTTCCAGGAGAGTCTCTCCAAGACTCGATTTTCTTTCGTTATGCGTCTACGACCTGGTTATCTTCATCTTCACCCAGCGAGTAGATCATTTCACGCGTCGTCGTCGTCGTCGTCCGCATGCGCATCAGCACCGGCAGCAGCAAGAGCGAGCCATCTGTTCCGCCTTGGCGCGCGTTATGCGCCGCCGGTACACGAGCACCCAGGAAAGTGAAAGAAGTGAACTGAGTGAGTGGGTGAGTGACGCAGAGGACGGCGCTAGAGTGCAGAGAGCCAGAGTGGTCAAGCATGAACTATTAGATGTAATTGGACGTCGTCGATCTAATATCTTGAATAGTAGTGATTATGCCGTTGAAGGGAAGATGTTTGAAGCTAAGTAGGTGGTATTGACAAATGAATTCCCTACCCCAACGACGACGTCGACGTCGATGACGACAGCTGTAAGAAGTGTCAGTGTGAGATGCCTCGGGCGGGAGATCGAACCCGCGTGTCACCCTTATGGGGGGCCACCTACTACCACTACACTGCCGAGGTGCCACTGCTCCGCTACCACTCTTTTTTCGATATAAGGCACTGTAGCTGTCAACTAACCAGTGATCTCACTACTTTACATGTTTGTGCTTGTTTTGGAAACCTGCCAAAATTGTCTTTTCGATATTTTGGTTGCTAAAAACTGATTTTATTTGTATATTTTTCTTTGGTAAAGTTCTTGCGATCTTTAAAGACGTTTCCGTTGAAGTTCAGTTCAAACGACCAATTGAGACGTTCGAGGTGTTCGTGTTTTCTTCGTATTCTGTTCGAAGAATAGTGAATGCTTGTGAAGTTATCGTACTAATTGTCCCTTATTGAAAATAAAATTCGCGCGAGATTGGTAGGTTTTTCAGATTTTGGTGGCTTACGTCGTGACGGCTTCGTCTTCTTCAGAGCCCAGAAGACGCTCTCAATCAAATCACATCCAATTATTTTGTATTTTGTCCTATAGGTAGTAAATGCTGATCATATTGTTAGGAGAATTGACTCCAGAAGATTTTTCCTTCAACGAAAATCCTTCGTTTGACCTTGACGTTATCGATCAGTAATGGCTTTTTTATGATTTGATTAATACCAGGAAGATGATAAATTAAGTCTAATTTGCCTAACATTTCGGAATCTTCGTCTTCTTGAGGAGAGTCAATGTTTCCGAGTTTTGAGTTTAGTTCTTCCTTTGTGAAGTTCGAGGCGAGTCTTCTGCACGGAAGTTTGAGTTGAATCTTTTGGTTATAGTTTCGAATCATTGGCACATAGGAAAGAGGAAGACGTCTAAACCTCAGCTGATAAATGTAATTAAACGATCTGGTGATATCAGGTAAATTGGCCCTTTTGGAGAGTTGTGGTCCCATCAGTTTCTGAACTATTTTTGTGACTGATTTTTTTTAGGTTAAGAAATTACGAGAACACGCTTAGGCTTAGGCTTAGGCTTTAGGCTTAGGTTTGAGAGATTGATGGGACCACAACTCTCCTCTAGCGTCGTTGAATCATAAAAGAGGCTATTAGTGACTGGAAAGGATAATGACTGAGACTTCAGACGATGAGTATTTTCGTGGATGTATCCAATGTTGTAGAGCTCTGATCCCCCATTTGTACTCACTCCCTCACTCACTCATTCACACCACTCCACACTCACTTTAGTGTTGCTGCTGTCTGTCTGTCCGTCCGTCCGTCTGTCCGTCCCGTTAAATGTCTCATGCATTACGACGGTAATCAATAATTGAGGTTGTTTTTGAGAAAGGCGCCCATTCTCAACTATTCCGAGCTGCGAACGGACAGATGGATGAGGAGCTCCTGACGACGACCGCCACGACCACCGCCACGACGACGACGACGACGACGGCGATGATGATCACCTTGTCCTCCTCCGGGACACGCGTCGATGCTTCTGATCGTCGTCGCCGGACCTTCGATGATGTAGTGGTGCTCCAGTTCTCTCTTATTCCGGACTGCAAATGCTGATGGATGAGGAGGTGCTGACGACGACGACCGCGACGACGACAACGACGGCGATGATGATGATCTTCTTGTTCTCCTCCGGGAGACGCGTCTATGCTTCTGATCGTCGTCGTCGTCGTCATCGTCGTCGTCGTCGTACCGTCTAGTCTATGATGTAGTGGTGGTGGTGGTGGTTGTCGAAGGATTCTATCGAGCATGTGGTGGTGATGGTAGTGAGTGAGTTGTTTGATCAGGCGTGACGTCGGCGGAGACCCTCAATGGGGGGCTGGCTCCCTTTACTGTACTCGATCTATTCTTCTCCTCATCCCCTTCGTGCTTTCTCATTTCGGGCCGGATTTGCGTCGTTTTCTGTTGTTTTTCTTTTCTTTTCTCTTCTTTTTTTCCTCTTTTCTTGTCATTGAAGTTCCCCACGACTAGCGATTTCCTACTATCAATCTTTTCGAGATAGGTTTCTATTTCTGTTTCTGTCCTGCCCCGCCCCGCCCCCAGTATCGTCATCAGCCCGGAGTCCTGATAGATCACGGTTATTGATTGATTACTTGTGGGAATACCGAGACGAGATCACGACATCATCGAGATCCGACTCGTCTCCAGCCCCCACCGGAGCTAAAGCCGCTATCGATTTGTTATTTTATTGCCCTTTGAGGTGGTGGTGGTGGTGATGGTGATGAGAGAGAAAGGGGAGACTCGGCTCGGCTCATCGTCAGCCAGTCAGTCAGTCAGTAGTTGGCTGTGGCTCGTGGCTCGTGGTGTTTGTCTGGTCTGATTCGTCGTCACTTGATTATTACCTCTACCGCCTATTCGCCCCGAAGAGGTTGTAATATCGATTTTTCTAGCTCCATACGTTCTCGAATCGATAAACGCCAGACTATTGATTGATTTTGTAACAACTATTGATTGATTGACTCCATTTGAGGCTTTTTCTCTCTGTGATGTTGTTTTCAGTGAACTTTTTGCGTCATTCCAGTCATTTTTTATTCATTTATTTGTCTGTTTATTTATTTACTTGTCGAGTTTTTGTTTACCTATTCGTTTATCGATTTTTTTTGTTTATTTGTCTATCGATTCCCGCCGTTCTTGGATTGAACTCTTTCATGATTCGTTATTGATTCATTGCTGTCTAATTACCATATATAATTTCTGAATCCTGAACCTTATCGTTGATTTATTGCTTGGAAACGCTGTTAGACTCTCGTCCGTAATGTGAAATTGTTAGGATTTGTTCCGACCTTGGGGACTATATCTTCTTCTAAACTGTTTTAAACTACTTAAATAAATAAATAATATGATTTATTTGAATTATTTGGATGAACAAATAAGTAAATAATCCAAGTATCCTGAACGTTTTCGTTGAATTACTGGATCCTGAGCCTTGGAGAGACTGTAATGCCTATTTATACTACTTCCTGAATACCGTCTATCTGATCTTTTTGAATAAATAAATGAACAAATTATGAATCTTGAACCTTATCGTTTATTTATCGCGTAGAAACTTAGTGAGACTGTCGTTCGTAATGTGGCGTTGTTAAGATTTGTTCTGACCTTCGAGAGACAGAACTATCTCATGTCAACTTTTTTTTCGAACAGAAATTCTTTTTATTTAGCCGCTCTATAGCGGTGGTATGATTTTACAAATCTATTCAGTGATGCTGAATGATTTACAAAGCTTTTGGATCAGTCGGGACTCGAACCTGGATTTTACTCTATCCAGGGACACGTGCTTTAACCCGTTGCGCTGCCGACTCCTGGTTTACCATCGCTGTTTCGTTTTTTTTCCTCCGTAATACTTTGTTTATTTATGTTTTCATAATATCTGGCCTTTTTTCGCTGTCGTTTGAGGCTGATTGTTTGATCTACAGGCTTTTTCTCAAGATGTTTACGTATATCTTACTTCTCCCCACATATTCGTGCATTTTTCTAGTCGTTTCTCGTTTGTTCGAGTATTTTAGAAGGTTTTTGCTTTACCTTTATATTTTCGCTATTGTTATTGTTATTAATTCTATTGTTCTTGTTGTTACTATTATTATATTATTATATTATTATTATATTATTATTATTATGCTATTATTGCTATTATTACTGTTTTTGGTCGATGATTTTTGAATAACAATAGCGGATTTCGAAATTATTAGCACGATTCGGGTTCACTGAAGTTGAAATGTTATTGATTTCATCTTCGATTTTATTTCGGAACCTAAACTGAGTTATTTGATCTACTTCCAAGAATTTCCGATGAACAGCAGTGTCGAATTTCGAGACTACTAACTAAGGAGACTAGGATCCGCCGAATTTTTATAATTGCTATCACTATTTTTCCCATTAATATATTCCTGTTAATCAAGAGCGCATGTGACGCAGTGGTGGTAGGTGCTCTGCGTCACATAGAAGGTGGTCTGTGGTTCGATCTCGCGCTTATGGCTCAGCAAGCCATCCATACCTTGGCGATCAGTAAATTGGCACTAGATCTCTACCAGACTTGTCTGGGAGGATAAGGAGCACTGACTCGGTGCAGCGGGAGGCCACCGAGAGCCATTGTAAAGGCCAGATATGCGTTCAGTTATCTCAAACGAGGCTTAGAATTGGAGACGAAGGCGGCATGGTGCAGCTTCCAGGGATTGGTGAACGCCAAGAGCTTTATCCTTTATCCTTTACTATCATTATTGTTATTATTCGTTTGTGATTATTACTACCGTTTTCGTCTTCTAGTCTTATCCCCATTGTGTTTTCAACGTTTTTATTTTTATAGAGGAAAAATTCTTGAGCCTGGATTTTAATAGAGCATATTTTAGGCATATCAGTGTGTTTTTTCTAATTAATGTCCTATCCATTCAACTATTTAATAAGCTTGTTTGTTGAGTTTTTCGTCCTTATGTACTTATCTCTACCAATTATGAAAAAATTTGCTATAGAATGATGCGTTGTAGCGTAGAGTGGTGGCAAAACAGGCGTCGGTAGCGGAACGGGTTAGACCACGCGCCCCCGGATAGGGTGAAATGCGGGTTCAAGTCCCGCCTGACGCAGGAGTTTTGCACATCACTCAACATCATCAGGTAGATTTACTACAATCTAAATAATCTAATTAATATAAATTATTGTCACGGCGTATTTCTCGTTTATAGCCGTGGTTTTCCTTTTCATTTTCTGTCTATTCTATCATTTAGTGGACCTATTTGATAAGGTTTTTGTCTCAATGTTTGTATTTTCAAAATTATTTATAGAAATAAATTTATAAGTTAAAATTTTGACGCAGCATATTTCTCGCTTATTACTGTATTTTTCGTTTTATTTCCTGTTCACTGGACTATTTGCTAAAGCTTTGGTCTTTATCTTCTTGTAATTATGTGTAAATATAATTTTAAAAGGCTGTTTTTGAACGTCATATTGATAATTTTCTAGCCGAACATTATCTTTTTTTGTGGACCGTACAGTTACATTTTTCCTGACTTTTTCTCACTCCGCATCCATCTTGGTCATCTACTGGCTTTTTTTTTTTGGCGTCAGATGATTTTTCCTTCTCGGGTTTTGTATAATACTCGCGTCTTTGAACTACCGCCAAGGAGATTTCAAGTGTAATTTTCAGTCATTTCAGTTAGTCTATTCTCGACTAATAGTATTCGCGGCGACGCTGCTCTGTGTGTGTCTGGGTGAGCGGAACGAACTACTGACTGGACGGACGAACGGACCTTCTCATTGACGTCGTCGCCCCCCGGAAGCGAACCTCCGTGTCGAAGGTGTGGCTCTGATGTGTGAGTGGTAACGTCGTGTTCATCATCATTCCCGGTACTGAGTGACCTGCAAGCAATCACGTCGATCACCACTTATCGTCTACTCCTACTCTCATCGTCGACACACTTGCAATATCAACGGCGTCATCATTTTTGCTTTCATCCTCATCATCGATTCTCCTCAGTGGATCGCCGAGATTTCTTGAGAAGCTGCTTCATTTCCGCCGCTCGATGACCATGGCACATGTGGACAGTGAACAGCGTCCAATGTCGAACGGTTGTGAGAACAACGGTGGTGGTGACACGATGGTCGAGCCAATGGATCTGAGCACAGCGGTACGTCATGTGATATTATTCATGTAAATATTTAACCCTTTCTTTAGGTAATTAGGCTAAATTAGGGCAGGTAAAAAGTCCTATTGAAACTACCATTTGAATGTAAGTGAAGTCAGGACTGATTTTGAATGTCTTAAGCCTTTGTTAATGCGCATAGACTCGCTAAAAACTTCGAGAATTTGCTTGAAATGTTGCTCTATGGTGTAACGAGAGTAAACAATAATCACTTGCCGATGATATATCTCTTGTTTTTCACTTTTGCCCCCACTGAAAGTGATTTCGTAATATCAAGTTTCGCGTCATATAGTGACGATGACACACTTGCATTATTAACCCGGTCGATCTCTTATTTGTAGTCCTAGCAAAAGTTCTTGAGGGTTAATTTTGTCCCGTTAAAAGTGTTGGAATAGTTAGATCAAATTTCTTTACTTTTTTTTTTACTGAGCAGAACTTCTTTTGAATGCTTTCTGTCTTGGCACTCGTAATAAAGACCCCAGTGAACAGCTATCAGTTGTGAATGCTGTTCGCTTGATTTACTGTCGACTATCTAGAAAGTGTAAGTTATTGTAAATTGTTTAGAAATCCCATATTTACATGGTTAGAAGCGAAAAATCCATAAAGATTTCGAATTCCGCAGCGCAAGATTGTGTAAAGCTTGATAACTTCGCTTCATTTTCGAGTTTAATTTAGGCAGTTTCTTGTATATGAAGTGCTTTTTTTTATTTATCTCGTTCTTTTATTCAAACAAATCCTGTTAATTAACAGCTTATAAGTTTTGCACGGACAATTTTATCATTGGAGTTACCACTTTTTTATCTTCTTGTTTATCGTTTGATTAGATATATTCTATTTGGAAGTCTCATTTGCTCTTGTTCAGATGCCAAACGGCACGTCGTCAAAGTCGCCGCTTGAATTTACGGATGGGCAGTTATCTCCGGCTTCTTTACGACGTCGTAGTACCCGAGCCAGTGCGTTAAAAGCTCAAGAAAAAATAAAACTCAAAGATGACGTCGTCGCGACAACAAATCCGGATAAGGTAGGTTGTTTCCGGTCCATTTTTCCTAAACATTTCTATTCAGGTTTCGCTAAAGTTTCCCTAATTTTTTGCACATTTGAATAGATCATCTTCGTGGACGGCGTGGCCGCCAAACTAGTCGTTTTCTGAGGGGGTTTCCTGATAATATGTTGCTAACATATTTTTTCTTCTTAGAATCGTAACTCAGGCATTCGCCGTCCTCCATCGATTAGGTTAGGTTTAGGTACTGATACTAAGTTTTGTAAGAACGGCGAATACCTGGCGATTAATTCAAGCCCTATTTGGCTTGCGGATAGAAATATCGAGCTCCTGTGATCCACAGAGTGCCCTTGAATGTTTGCTTATCCTTATTAGATCGAAATCAATGCAATTTTTGCTGTAGAACACTACACCTCAACACACAATGCCTAGGGTCAAGAGTTGCAAATATTTATTGATTGATATTGGAATAATATCGTTTTTTCTGACACAGTTTTCAGTAATTGCCGTGATTTTAATCGTTTTATGGATGTCTAAAGGTACGGAGGATTCAGGGTGATGTCGATGAAGACGGTGAATTGGCGCCAAAGAAACGAAGGCTTCACGATGGATCTGTTTTCGATCAATTCAGTCACAAATTTGGATTACGAGTGAGTGAAGCTTTTGCGATAATTATATCTTGTTGGATCAAGATTATGTTTTGTTGAATATAATGAGGGCCTGTTTCATTTTCTTAAAGTCCTTTGGATTATTCAAAATGTTTTTTTTTTCGATATTTTCTAATCAAAATTCGTTTGTGGAGCGCCGTGGCTGAGTGGTTGTGATGTTGGTCACAGCGCGCGTGGAGAGCTCTACCCCCTTATCTGCACACTGAAAAAAAAACTGCGATGACGGATCAAATATGGTAAAGTAAAGTGCTAATCTGACGGATGATTCTTTTTCAACTAAGGTCTGCTTGAAAAACTTTGTGAATTGATGCCAAAAAAGCCTAGATAAATCTTATTTGATTCACTGCGAATTCCTGCTCATCGTTAATATTGCTTGGCATCTTTGATTTATGAAAGTTTATGTCAACGTACGTGTAGTGGTGGAAGACATGTTGCGCAGAGCAGTGGTTAGAGGTGCTCCGCGTCTCACACGCAGTCGATGGTTCGACCGCGCTTATGCTACCAAGCCTTCCATCCCTCCGGGGTTGGTAAATTGGTGCCAGACTCTGTCAGGGAGGACAGTAGTACTGACTTGATGCGTCGTCGGTAGGCAAACACGAGTCATTGTAAGGACTAGTTATGCACTCAGTCACCTCAGGTGAAGTCAAAAAATTGAAGGCCAACGCGTAGCGTAATTCTTAGGGATTGATCAACAGCGAGGGTTTTATCCCTTACTTCTATGTGTAGTGGTCAGTTTATTAGTAGGAGTTGCTTGAGACATTTCATTTTCAGGAACAAGATGGGAACGTCTACCCATTAACAGACGAGAGTGAGGTGTCGTCGTTACACGATAGCGAGATCATCACGCTCAAGGCCAGCTACGATAAGGTTCTTTTTGCTGTGTAGTTCTACAATATCTCGATTTACTCCATATAACCTGTGTTCTCACTTTTCTCTAGAAATTGCATCATCTTTGAGCTTGTATCTTTGACACAGCTCATACTTCATTACAATTAGTTACAGTAGTAGTTGTCGTTGCAATGTTACTTTAGAGTTTAGTGGGACACTCTTCACTTAGCCGTTTATTTACTTGTACAAGATTTCTGAGTGAGATTTGAAATAATATTTTTTACATCCTGGCAAGATATTTTAAGCTTTCCCTGAAGTCTCTTATGGAATCTATCAGGATGTTTCATTTTTGAGCAAGGGCTCAAAATAGTCGAATGGAAGTGTTGATACATGTGTATATGCACACATACGAGCATGTATGTACATGCATATACGTATGTGTATATAGGTACATATGTATTTATGTATACATATATATATGTATATGTATATGTATTATATTTATGTATATATATATATACATATATATATATATATATATATATATATATATATATATATATATATATATATATATATATATATATATGTACGCGCAATGTGCATATGTATATACATGTACTGGCGTAATAGCCGTTAGCCAAGCAAACGACAGTCGACAATCTATCACTCTAAAAAGCACCACGGTGATTCTTTCTCCGTACGTACAGTGTAAATTCCGTGTCGATTTCTTTTTGTGTAGGTAGTATATCTCCTTACAAGGAACTGAGTGCACTGAAAGGCACCTGCTACTGATGAGGCTGAAAGGTGAAACATGTGTCTAACTCTTTAAACGTGCCTTAACACTCCTTATAAAATGCTTAAAATATGCTGTGAAAATGTATCAGTTTTAAGAGAGGTCTCGAAATAGTCTATTGAAAGTGCACAATTTTTCAATACTTACGTTAGCGTCATTAATACGAAATATCTTTTCAGTTAGTGAGTAAGGAACTCACTCCGGAGCAGCGACATGAAAGGACGCGAATGATCAAACAGTGTGAGGCAGAGTTACGATTAGAGGAGGCGAAGCTGACGATGTTAAAAAAAGTAAAGGCGAGCCAAATGCTTGCTAATCAGAAGGTAAGTAGACCTTTTCTCACGTAGAGCTCTCTAAGTGATCAACTGAGTATTTAGTTTTTTTCAGCTTCATGAATCTAAAAAGTCAGCTCCTCATGTACCGTTGAACAATACCAGCGGTGCATACAAGCCTCTTGTAGCACCGCCGCTCAACAAAAGCGCTTCTGCACCTGCCAATGGGAGAAGTGAGCCATTTCTTCATCTCTTCGGTTTTATTGTTCTCTTGGCCTGTTTTTTTTTGTTCTATATTCCCCATTTCCCAAACGTGTAGTGAGATAAGACTGTAACTACACCGCAGATGTAATGTTATTACTGCACAGTCTTGTGACTTT